AAAGTTACACAAATACGATTTTTAGTCATCATGTAGTACATACCTACTAAGTAAAAAATAAAAATTCGGACAACACATAAAGCTTGCCGTATCGCATCCTTTTTGCTTTCTCGTGAAAATCCACGACAGTGGAAAATAAAAAAAGATTCGGCGTAAATAAGTTTCTAACGTTAACAGTTGTCTCTGGCGCAGTTGTCTTGGCCCATTATCTACAGCCTACTTTTATCCTGAGTTCTGTATGTATAAAGTATTGGTATACAGCGAGTATTTGAAAAAGTATTTGAGCATCTTTAAACGAACTGTTAGAATAAATGGAACGCAACCATTTTATATTGTGTATGTTGGCAATACGGAAATCCGTTTAGTTTTTTCATGTTGACACTATTGTTACTGCCATTTTGAACTCTGTGATTTGTGTGCGCTCTAAACCGAATAGAAAGTTATTTATCTCAATATTTCTTTTATTTACCNTGTGGCAACTGCAGCATATGTTGTCAACCGGTCACCAACAAAGGCACTAAAAGGTAAAACTCCTTTTGAAATTTGGAAAGGACGGAAGCCCAACTTGTCACACATGAAGATATTTGGCTCTGTTGCTATGGTCTATGTTCCAAAAGAAAAACGCCAAAAGTGGGACAAGAAATCATCAAGGATGATACTAGTTGGCTATTGTGAAAACTCGAAGGGTTACCGATTGTTTGACCCTGAAACAAAGAAAATAGTAAAAAGTAGAGATGTCACTTTTATAGAAAATGTGAATACACATGCAAATCTCCCTGTTGATTGTGATACAGTGGAAAGTGAGAGCAGCAAAGACAGTTCTGATCCCGAAATACTCACTCCGGAGCCCAATGACTCGGATGTCCATGAAGACTCAAGTGAGTATGAAACTGATGTTGGAGATTCTGATGAAACTTATCATCCACCGTGTTCAGTGAGACGGCAGCAGGATGTTAACAGCAACATCACAGTAAGATCATTGCGGTCTCAGAGGCAAAGGAATGAAGAGAGTGACAAAAATAGTTATTTGTGTTTGTACACTGACTCATCTGATCCACAGACTGTAGAAGAGGCTCTGTCATCACCTCAAGCCACAGAATGGAAGAAGGCGATGGATAAAGAATACAATTCATTCATGAAAAATGAAACCTGGAGTTTGACAGACCTTCCACCGGGGAAAAAGGCTCTACCCTACAAGTGGGTATTCAAAACGAAAACCGACCAGAGTGGAAATATCACCAGTTACAAGGCTAGGCTTGTAATAAAAGGCTATGCTCAGAGAAATGGATTAGACTATGAAGAAACATACTCACCAGTTGTCAGGTACACCACTATCCGCTACTTGTTTGCATTGGCAGCTAAATATAATCTGGAAATAGATCAAATGGATGCTGTATCAGCCTTTTTGCAAGGAGAGATAGATAAAACTATCTATATGGAGCAACCAGAACAGTATAAACAGGGATCTCAGGTATGCATTCTACATAAATCGATATATGGGCTAAAACAGGCCAGTAGGCTTTGGAATGTCAAACTTAACAAAGTCCTACATGAGTTGGGAATGCAACAATCGAAAACAGATCCATGTGTTTATTTCAATATAGAACAGAACACATTTATAGCTGTCTGGGTTGATGATCTAATTTTATTTACTGCTCAAGAGTCTACAAAGATGTTATTTAAGGAAAAATTAAAAGAACACTTGGAAATGAAAGATCTAGGCCCAGCTAGCCAGTGCTTGGGCATGCACATCACTAGGTGTGGAAGTGATGTTGTATTAGATCAGGAGAAATATATTAAAGAAATTTTAGCAAGATTCAGAATGTCGGACTGCAAACCTGTGAAAACACCTATTGAAGTTGGTATGAAATTTAATGAAAATGAAGAACAAGAAGCATTGTTAAACTGTCCATATCAACAAGCTATTGGTTCATTGCTTTATCTGGCTCAGGTTACCCGGCCAGATATATCATTTGCAGTTAACACACTGAGCAGATTCAACAACAATCCCAAGGCTACGCATTGGACTGCAGTGAAGAGAATATTTCGATATCTACAGGGCACCAAAGATTTGAAATTGATTTACACCAAAGATGGTAATGAGAAAATCACAGGATATTGTGATGCAGATTGGGCAGGAGATGTGTGCGACCGAAAATCGTGCACAGGTTACATTTTTATGTTACAGGGTGGCGCCATCTCTTGGCGGTCACATAAACAGCAGACTGTTGCCTTGTCGACAGCCGAGGCCGAGTACATGTCGATGTCCTCCGCGACGCAGGAAGCGTTGTGGCTGCAGCAGCTGCACGGCGAGCTCGGCCAGCCGCCGCACGGCCCGCTCATTATCTTCAGTGACAACCAGAGTGCGATCAAGTTATCTATGAATGACTGTTACTTACCTAGGTCTAAGCATATAGACATTCGTTATCATTTTCTGAAGGATCATGTTAATAATTTAAATGTTAAATTTTGTTATGTTAAAGGTGAAGACATGATTGCTGATAATTTAACTAAGGGTACTACTGCTGATAAGCATTTGTATTGTGTAACTAAAATAGGGTTACGTTCCAGGGGAGGGTGTTAGAATAAATGGAACGCAACCATTTTATATTGTGTATGTTGGCAATACGGAAATCCGTTTAGTTTTTTCATGTTGACACTATTGTTACTGCCATTTTGAACTCTGTGATTTGTGTGCGCTCTAAACCGAATAGAAAGTTATTTATCTCAATATTTCTTTTATTTACCACAAAAGCTACAATTCCTTCACTAACACTTACTTATGTTGAGTTGCACCATCTTACTATAACAGTAACTATAACAATAACCGTTATTTTTTGGATGGCATTTGACAGAATTTTGACGTTTTTTATAGTTAATGTAAGATCATTCAATCTACCAATAGTTTTTTTTAAACGAGGAAGCTCTTGGTCTGACGGACAGTGATGATCAGGCAGAAGATTTCTCGAGTTCTTCTGTGGTTGAAGATGATCGCTTCCCTCCACCTTCAGCTTCCTCCTCAATAGCAAACCATGAGCTTTCTTTAAGTGATTAAAAAATGGTTTATTTTGTTGACCTACCTATCTCTCAGATTCCCATGGTAAATAAATATTTTACTGACAATTTTTATGACCAAAATCTCCAAAAGCATAATAAATTCTAAGAAGTCTAGATTGAAGATATAAATCCACAGTATTGTGAGCAAGTGAAAAGTTAAACTGAAGTTAAAGATATTTACGAGAGCGCAGTAATTAAACGCAGGAATAATTAGTTGCAGGAATCGAATTAAAACAAATGCCAGATAGCTGTTTTCATTCTATAAGTTTTGACTATCGTCTTCCTTCGTTATGTTTTACTGCAAGTAAAATATCTTAGTGAACCCACAAGGTGGACAGACAACCTCATAAAGGTAGCAGGAAGGCGTTGGATACAGGCCGCTACCAACTGGCCTATGTGGAAATCATTGGGGGAAGCCTAAGTTCAGTAGTGGATGTTCTATTGGTTGAAATGATAATGATGATGAAAATATCTTGGTCATCTAAATGATTTGACTTACACCTGGAATTCTGGCACATGCTCACTAAGCTTATGTGTCAAAATATTGCTAATAAATAAGTAAGCATGCTCATTTCGAGTTTTTCGAGCACATTATAAGCATGATTTTAAGCATGAACTTAAAAGCATGTGTAACTGTACCTGTAGGCCAGTAGAATTAGATTTTAAATCGGAAATAATTCCTACAAAAGATTTTATTGCTTTAATGGCATCATTGGTTGCTCATTAAGACTCTCCTAGGTTTTCGACTTCGACGGAGTTGTGTTTAAGTGGTGGGGGCCCCCGAAAGGAGCGCTTTTTAGGTTTTCCGGTTATACCGCGTAAAGGACTTACCCTAGCGAAAAGTGGTCTTCCTGACGGTTGAAGGGCATTTAATCCTGCATTAAATAAGACCAAATTCATATGTTTTGGACAAACCGTTCTCGTGCAAATGTTCGGCAAAGTAGAAAATATGTGTATAATTAATGACCCTTTCCACGTCCAATAGCTCGTCACCCGTAGGCTCCCAAGTCTTGTAAAGGCTCGCCTTAACCAGCCCCCACCACTTAAGCACAACTCCGTCGAAGTCGAAAACCTAGGAGAGTCTTTATGGGCAACTAATGAAGCCATTAAAGGACTAAAATCTTTAGTAGGAATTATTTCCGATTTAATTCATTTTTGTGTCTAATTCTACTGGCCTACTGTAGGATTTCCAGATGATTAGATTAAGACAAACTCGAAAAGCATTTGGAAGCTAACTATATCGGAAAAAATGTATCCCAATATTTAACAGCTTATTGAATGATTTCTTTTGCCGAATTGCCAAAAACTACAATAATACCTAACTTTTTTGAAATGCAGGCATCCAATGAAGTAACCCAATGTTGGCATATTATTGAAGGCTTTTTTAAAATAATAAAATAGAGTATTTCTTACACAATATAACACCTTTAATCCTTTCTCCCTCTTTATAAGTTGGTCCTCCGCCATCAACTTCTCAAGCATTGGGGATAACACCCCGATTTACTTTTGTTGAAAACACACGGGTTAATATTTTGGTAATAAACGTACAAGTATGTAGCTGTGATAACTGACGTTTAAGGGTGTGTGTTGACGGGCCGCTGCCGTAAGTGCGTATGTTCACGAGTCGATTTCCACCCGGATATAACAAAATTAGGAATGGCTAAGGCTGCAGGACACGCAATCAACTCACGAATATCAGGCTCAGTCTTTCTGTTTGACGCGTCCAAGAATATTACTTTTAATTTTGCTGAATTTAACTTTTTAATGATTTTATCAAGTAGGGGTTCATTTACTGTTGAAGAAGTTCTTCTTCACGAGTCCTTCGAACTAAAATACTTACGTAGGTGAAATCAACAAACCGTGATCGTTCGTCATGAGGTAAATAGATATCTATTTGTTAGACCATATTCTTTATCTCTCAATCTATTTTAAAACTGGTGGAAGAGTCACCCACATGATATTCAACAGGTACGCGTCACATTTATTTTCTTACAAAACCGCCGCGCTCCCGCCCCAAATTTCCTCCCGTGTTTTCACCAATCGAACTGTTTGATTTGACAAATTGCATCCTTTGTCGGCACCGAGCTGTCGATAACCCCGCACTATTTGTCCTCCTATTCCATTTAATCGATGGAATTCTTCTTCAGCTCTTCACGGAATGGGTTTCTTTGAGGATTTTTTGGGGGCGAACCCATTCTACCCTGAGTTAAAGGTAAGGTTCATAGATAATTCATGGGGAATCTTTCTTCTCCGTATGTAGTTTTGAATTTTTAGTAATATAAAGTTCACACATAATAATTTATACGTTAGCACTATTGCAATCGCGATTTGTGAGGAGAGATGAAAATTTAATTTTGTTATTTCGTGAAATAATCAGAAATCTGATTTTCATAAAACACGTTCGTTCGTTAAAACACGATATCCACTGCTGGTCAAAAGCCTCTCCCCCATGGATTTACACAAGCATCCAGGTACTTCCGTCACCTTCACCAGATCGTCTGTCCACCTAGAGGGGGGCCTGCCCACACTACGTCTTCCGTCCATCAGCTCTACGAGACATGTGCCCTGGCCACTGCCACTTACGTTTAGAAATCCTGCATTCATGTAACATTGCAATGTCCTATTGACATTGTTGGCACTGGTCTAACTATTATTTATTTATTTGTACTTACTTAAAACTATCAACTTATTTGGTTTTACACCACCACCAAGCGTTATTCCCCTGTCCATTTAATTTGCATTTCTTGCCTATTTTCCTTGGATCTTGCAATAATCCACTCTTTGCTGTAGCCATTGCTTTCACGATAGTCCTATGGGATGGTATCAATCCTTTAAGTGTTTACGAGTAAGCAAAGAGGGGTAATTGAGAGGCGAGATGAGGACTTCAAAGCTTTGAGTTTTTGCCTTTGAATATTTTCAGTCTGCTGATGTGATAAATTGATTGATAAACTCTAAATATCCTTGGGGATTTAACACAGCAATATCTAATCAAAGAAAACTACTATACCAGAGAAAAACTATTCATGCTTTTTTGTTAATTAATACAAAACTTGAATTTGTTTGACAGATCGATTGATTATTTTCAAAATTAACCTAGAATTTTCGTCAAATGTTGTACAAGTTGTATGTTTATTACAAACCTACGTTTCCAGAAGGAAACCGACCAAATTGTCTGAGTAGATTGAAACATAAAAACGAAAAGAAAACGTATACGCACAAGTTTTGCTAAGAAAGACACAAAAACAGAACACAACCTACTTTTATACTACAGTAGCAACAGAAGGAGCTATAATTTACTTATTTTCAAAACAACACACACTCGCAACTAAATGCAAATTCCCCGAAACATCTACAAAGGGACCTGTGAGCTGTAATTCACCAATTATAACTGTAATAGTATTAATTATCCGGCAACTATGCCTTATTAAATTCAATAACCACCCTGTGGACCGTGTGCCAATTAAACAAGTTTCCTAGTTCCAAACAAGTAACTGTAAGGATTAAATTCTCGTCAATGGCGTTGGATTTGATGCTATAGTTCAACGATTTAAACGTCAAATGGCAAAAATTGGAAATAGTAACCCAACATTGATAGCAGCGCCCTTAGCGCCCTTAGCCCAACGTGGCAAAAATCGGAACCGACAATCCAATAGCGCCCCTCTGTCAATGCCACAGGTTCAGTGTAGTTAGGACATCTCTATGCATAAAGCTGTTGTTGCAATTCACGAAGGCGAGTGAGCTTTACATGTGTGGTGGCTCGCTACTGTTCGTTTTTAAAGTTTTGATAGACATTACACTATCGTTATGTGCATGTACACGCACACACACGAGTAAAGCTTACTCGCCTTAATGAGTTGCAAGAACTATTCTCCATTTACCTAAAAAATAACTATAGTCGTACATTTAAGGCGTAATTTTTTTTAATTTCCACTGACAGAAATACTTTCTTAAACATAAGCTTCAATAATCCATTTACACAGGGTAAACGTTTTACCCCGCCATTATGTCGTAATGATTTAGTTTTACGGCTGGTCTAGCAGGGCTCACATCCTGCTGTATCCGGTTCCGGAGGCTTTGATCTCAGATTGGGACTTCGTTAGCGCATAACGAGGTGGGATGCGCCCCTAATTGAGCGTTGGGACGTGTTAATCGAGCCTTTTGAGTGTTTTGTGTGCTTTAGACTGAGGTGATCGGTGTTTAATTGCTTTAATTGACACACAATTAATTTTACGGTAAGAAAATGAATTACATTTTCCGATTAACCAAAATTGTACGTAACGTAAAGCAACGTAAAAACGTTAAATTATTTTAAAATGCTTATTTATTATAATAAAATTTATCTCGTGGAGCCAAAACTATCCGGAAATTCTGGTCAGTGTGCGGGTAGTAGTCCCTTTTTCATAGACTTATAATAATTGTTTATTTAGTTTCTTAAACTCTTTTGATCATGAATGACAAAAATCTCTGAATGCTATTTTGTTCAGAAAACTAAGCTATCTCCAGATCAGTCTCGCGAGCTATTTTAGCGATTCTCTCTAAATACAGCCTTTTATTCGAACAGCCTTTTATTCGAACAGCCTTTTCACAGTGACTGAGTTTCTTGCGCTGCTTCTTCTCAGCACTGGCCCATATATTGTTCTGAAACAGTGCTAGAGTTAATACGTGTAAAAGTGATTTTTAAAAGCTTTTTAAATTTAATGAGTTTCATTAGTTTTAATTCGATCAAATTTCAAACGTGGACAGTACTGAATGCCCCAACAGTACCCAGAGTGTGCGTGCACAGCGGGACGTTAGACCAACCGTGCGTCACAAGTTGGACGAGCCCGCAGGTGTGGCTGTGGTCACATTATTAATGAGTGCGAGCTTCAATTAGCCGGGACTTACCCGAAAGCCAAAACTACCCGGATATCCCGATTGGTAGATTTTGAAGAACAGGGGAGACCGAGGTAAGTTATAATAGAAGAGACTTGTGACATTGTTGGATTTGGAACTTATTAACTACTAACGAGCTCGTAACAGTGCGCGTTTTTAGTTCAAATCTCGAGCTAGCAAATACGCGCTGTTGCGAGCTCCCTGAAGCTAATAGGTTTAAAAAAAATCGAGAATAAATCACCAAACTCCTCTACAAAATACATTTTTTTTATTTTTAAATGTTTAACTTATGTAAGTAATAGTAATTACTCAGGCTGGGTTGCATCATCTTACTTTAACTTTGACAAATGTCAAAAATCTGTCAAACTCCATACCAAAAACACCTGTTATCGTTATAATTATGTAGGTAGTTACGGTCAAAGTTAGGTGGTGCAGCACAGCCTAACAATTTATTTCGCAATTTTCTTTCCTGTAAGTTTAAGGTTTAGGTAGCAAAATGAAGACGTGCTTATTCTAGGGCCTTGCTTAAGGGTCAAAGGTCACTCGTCAGGGGAATCCCTCATAACTGGTTGTCACGTCACGCCAGTATGATTAACGTCTCAAGAAGCGACGTGTCTGGGATGTGACAAATCTCTGTGTCAGTAGCTTTACAATGCTCTAGATATGTAAATATGTATATAGATAACTACCTACATACATATAATAGATCTATCAACGCACAGCCCAAACCACTGGACGGATCGGGCTGGCATGCAGGATAGATAGATAACGTAGACACCCGGTAAAAAAGGATTTTCCGAAACTCTACCCCTTAGGGGGTAAAACGGGATCCACGCGAACGAAGTCGCGGGCGGCCGCTAGTAAGGTATTTAAGGCGATTAGAGTCCTCAATGACCTTGGGCGTTTGACCTTCACGCCGCGAGCAACACCCGCGTACCCCGCACCAAAAACTCCGATTTGACACCGATCAAAAATACACGGGCATAGGTAGATACAGAATAGAAGCTCTTTCTTCATACATTACACTGCCTATTATTTTAAACTTAAATTGATGAACCTTGATGTCGGTGTCATTTAACTCAGGCGTAAAGGTATTTAATAAAAATAACAAAATCCATGAACATTTTGTACGGGATAAAATTTTATTTTATTTTTCGTAAATTTTCTAATGCTTTTGTCGGTTCAGTCGTTCTCGAAATTTGAACAAACCCGACTTTATTTCAAGCTTTTATTTAGCTTGCAATTTATGATGTATGTAGGTAATTACATAAATGTTTGTTCGGGTGGAATCTTGCAAGCTGAATTAGTTAGACCAACTTCCTGACGATAACTAGGCTAGATGACAAAATTTCAATTATCGTTCGGAATTTATCAAAAGTAAAATTTATGAATGAAAGTAATGTTCGATTGAAAAACGCAACGTGTCATTTAAAGATTAAAGAATTCCTAATCTATTCGTGCAAACATTTTTTAAATTAACATAGCCGTTTTGGAGGAGTAGGGAATTTAAGTAAAAAATCGATGTCCCGTATTTATTTTTTTAATCCAAAACAAAGAGACGTAGCGAAAATTCAAACGTCACAAATGTAGTCCATGAACTGTTGTATAACATATATTTTTTTCAACTATTTCTATCCAGCAGTAAAAGAGGAGTAGGCTTTACAAAATGCCCATTTGGCGCGGATTGAGGACACTAATCGCCTTAAGGACAGCACAGTAAAGTGTTAAAATTGGTGATAAAAAAGCACTTATTACAACAACTTAAAAAGTTGCAATGTTAATTTCCCCTTAAGGCTGATTTACACGTATTAAGTTGTTGTGTAATTCAGCCAATTTAATCTTATCTCATGAAACTTCGTTAAAACAATGTTAAAACCTTCTTTTAAGTCGCCATAGATTTTCGAAACATCAAGAAATTTTCCAAAAATAAAATAAAAACTCGCGCCTGATAACACAAATTCAGCAGAAGAAGACACAATCCTCAAATTTTGTCACGCGTTCAATTTAGATAGCACCACACAGCGCTTCCCGGACGATCTTACTTGACAATCTAAGTTTTTTCAATTACATAGACCATTTTTGCGGCAGTAAAAGGGCTTGGACAAAAAGAATTTGACTTTTATCTTGTCTGCTTGCCGTTTCATGTTTACGAGATGTCATAAAGCTAATACCACCTTTTGTTCGTCCCCTCTTTTTCCTGGAAAAAGGGGAAGTTTGCAGGGTACACTGTTTGGACTCCCTTGATGGTTACAAAGAAAGGACATTGTGTTAACAAAAAACTAGAGCGTTAAACGTACTTTGTGTTTCAAATCTGTTTTTTACAGCTTCAAGTTTTGAGTTTTTGCTGTAATTGCTTCGTTCGGTCGAGTTTTGTATTGCTTGTAACTACCGTGGCCCAAAGGCAGATTTGGAGATCATGGGTTCGAATTCTAGGAATATGAAGAGGTAGGTAATTTTAACTTGATGTAGAATATATTGTCACTTGCTCATAAATCTTACTATAACGTGCCGTGTAACAGAGTTTATACATATTCATCAAAATCAATGCGGATGGAGCCACGAGTAAACAAATAGTAAAATATTATTTTCAACAAAGCAATTTCACCGTTCTAATTGATTTTTCACATAATACAAAATCAAAGAACAGTTGGTGATTATGTACTATATGAACCTAATAAAAAAAAGAAACCAGTGAGTGCATCTTATTATGCACAATAAAAAATTCGCTCAACTTAAAATGATCGTCTTTTCTTTTTAAGATTACCAAGAAGGTTAAGAGGTCTTTGAAAGAACTAAAAAGGCGAGGAAGCCATAATGATTAGTGTCTTGGAGTAGGTATGTCTTATAATAAATTTAATTTTATTATGTAGATAATTATTTATGTAAAGATTTCTTAGAAAACAGAGGTGCCTGAACTTTCCCTATTCACAAAGACATTATTATGACGCTATAACACCTCAATAAAAAGAAAATAAAACATAATTTTCCTCACATTATCAGTACTAGTCATAGCGGAACGTTGCGTTCTTTTAGTAATTTTATATTTTCTTACAAAATGAAGTCAATATTGATGTTTTTCGCGATCGCTGTGTGCAGTGTGACGTCATTTAACGATTATGGAATACCTACGAGTAAGTCAGAGCAAATAATGTACTTATGAGGCAAATTCAATAGCAGGCATTTAGTGTTTAAAATCGTCATCATCATCAGCAGGTCATTTAGTCTCCATTGCAGGAGTACGACCGCCTTTCTGAAGTTGGGGAGGTCAATTTATAAAATAACGTAAAATTTTGTTAACCACTGATAAAAAAAAGTCATAAAACTCATTTATTTTTGCAAATAGGCTTTTAAAAAGCACTTTTACACGTCCCAATATTAACCCTACCACTGCTTCGGGACAATAAATGGGCCAGCTGATCTGGTGTACCTATCGCATTCTGACAGTAATGTCAGCAGGGCTACGATAGCAGGTTTCTGGAGCCTAAATTTTAGTGCGATAAAAACCAACAAACCACGTAGAATTCTATGTATGTAATGCTATTGAACTTTATGTATGAGATGTGTAAAATATTTTCATACACGTTACCTTTCTCGTGTATTTTTTTTTTTATAATTTTCACCTGTTCATACATCATCACGAATTTCCCTCGTGACACTTTTGGTTGCTTTAAGTTTATGTGCTCGCGACAAGAACTAATATTTATTGACTCAACTGTTGCAATCATTAAGTAGGTAGGTATAATAAAAAATGTGTAATTAAGCTAGGTACGAAATAAAACTGCATAAGGTGTCTTCGGTCGTCTTTCTTTAATGTTCAAAATACATTATTTGTTTTTTGTTAGTTCACGGAGTTACATGTATGAAATTTTCCCGCTAGCTCTACGTGATTATAAGCTTAAGGACTATACACACCAAGCCCGCCGACAGCCCTGTGGCTTGATTTCAAAAGAAACATGTCGAAGACATCAACTTTCATGATGAACATGACGAGAACTTGTCAAAAGTCGACGATTGATGTCAGTGGGCTCGGTGTATAGAATACATAACACAAAACAACCGTTGTGTTTGAAGCAGATATTAAAAATAGTTTACGTACAGATAGATTTATTTCTCTTAACTTCCAATTCAAATCATTTTTCAAATTGCCTTTTTCAGGAAACTGCCCTCCAGGCGAGCACACAGTGCTATACTGCCCACAAAAGGCCGAACCTACATGCGACGACCCGACTCTACGCGATCTAGAGTTTGGAGCGTGCGATATTCCCGACTGCTTCTGCAATGAACCCACTGTGCGAGACACCAGCACAGGGGGATGTGTTGCGTTTTCTGATTGTCCAAAAAAGTGTGATCGATGAAGAAAAAGAAAGATTTTTATGAATCGACTCTAATTTTAAAAAATACATTTATTGTATATGTTACAGGAAATGTATGAAATCCGTCGTTGTATACAATTCCTAGGATTTGTGTATAAGTCCTAAAATCACCCGGAAATGTGTGATGTAAATTATATTAGACACATTTCCTAGGAAATTTACACATTTCCTAAACAGCAATCGGAAATGTAATTAAGATTTCTTTTTTTTTCCGAAACTTAAATGGCGCTCCCGCGCCGCGGCCGCTGTGTATGTGACAAGGTCGCAAGTCTAACCTAACCTAACCGAGACTTTGTTATCCAGCTACAGGAGTACTAAAACCTTCATGTCAATAATAGTTTAATAAAAGATATGTTAAAATTAGGGTTTTCCAATACTTCGGCGTAATATGCGTGATGCCGAAAGAAAGGTATGCCAATAGGCAAATATTTTTTTCAGTCAAAATATAATAGTGCGAAAACAACTTTCAGGCTAAACAATAATAGTTGTGAGTTAAAAGTACCTATCGGTCAATGTGGTTTGTCTAAATAAAATTTTAGGCGTACTGAGGGGCACTAAATCACATGACCGCGCTTGTGCCGCTTAGTTTTATACATTTCCTAATACAATATTGGAATTCTATAAAATTCCTAGGAAAAGTATACATGTCCTAGGATATGTGCGTATTAAAAAATCTCTGAAGCAATATTTTATACATTTCCTAAATAGCTTCGGAATTGTATACATTTCCTAGGAATAGTATACAATTCCTAGAATTCATACATTTCCTGTAACATATACAAATAAACAAAAATGTTGTTCATTTTACTTATTTACCTTTTTTAATATCCAAAAATACATGGTCTGATGAGATCCACATTCCACTCTTTTTGACGGGTGGAAAGTACCGCTAACCGCGGGGAAAGCTATTTTTATTAACTTATCTAAGTTTAACGCCTTTGGACTCTACACGACCAAAGATTGCAGCATACAATTTTCCAGACAGATTAAAAAAAATTAGATTAGTGACACTTTTCTAAAATAAATAAAACGAAAATACAATTTAAAGCAATTATAAATAGAAACATTTTAAGCATACTATAAGTATCAATGTAATATTAAAAATCAGCTTAGGAAATGGACTGCTATCCACTTGCACCATAAAAGTGTACAATATTTTAATGTAGAGTCTCGTCGTAAAATGACATTACAACTACACAATAACGACTACATTACTACTATGTTACTATTTACCTTGATATGCCGTCATCTACGTTTTTGTAGAAGAAACAATGTTTTAATCTCACTTAAATAAGGTATTCACCGTTCTTTGCTTAAAGATAAGGAACGTCTTTGTTCAACATTCTTTTGTCTCAGTTTTTATAGTTACGAAACTTTCATGGAACTTGTGAAGAAAACAGTAAACTTGTCTACTATGTTTTGTCAAATTCATTTAATTTTGTTTTAATTTAAAAGATAATACAAGAAGGGTTCAATGTTGTAATGTTGTAACCTTGTAATTAATTTTCTAAGAAAAACAAACGTTAGAGGTTTTGTTAAGGCTAATTAAATTTTTAAAATATCAACATTTAGGTAGTTTTCACTGCAGGAGGACCACTGTTTCTATCTTAGCAGAGGCGAGTGCAGATCTTGGCCTAAACTCGCCTGACCAGACGGATTAAAGAGGCCATGACATATTAGTCTCTTAGGCGGTTATCACACTGCGCCGCGATCCACCGCGGAGCGCGTGATTTTCATATAAAAAATCACACGCGCGGACGCGTTGTCAGTGTGAAGTGCCGCGCGTGTTTTCTATACAAACTGAGGTACTTGCATACAATGATTAAATCTGTCGCCCCGCGCTTCGCCGCGGAGCGCGGCGCAGTGAGATAACCACCTTAGTCACCATTTATAATATCCATCACGAGAAAGAATGATAGTGGTAATTCGAACCGGTACCAAACGAACAACGTACCTAATACATGGCGTAAGGAACACCGTAACCTAACTAAGGCTGAGTTGCACCACCTGACTTTAACGGTAACTATGACGATAACCGGTGCTTTTTGTATGAAGGTTGACAGATTTTTGACGTTTCTTAAAGTTAAAGTAAGATAGTGCAACTCAGCCTAACTGTATCTCTGCCAATGTACCAATCAACTGCATGTTAGATTATTTACATATTTACTTATTTGTTCCAAACACGCTCTTATTACAACTACCCAACACAAGATTCCACAGTGTTTAGGTTGATGTCAGGTACACTCAATACACCACTCATAACACTACACACAAATTCACTCAATACACCACAAACACACTAACTAAGAATGTATGTTAATACTTTTGGAAGAGCGGTAACCTCCTACTACAGGTATTCTTATACTTAAAAGGATGGTTACCAAAATATCTTGTTAATCAACTTTATTTATAAAATAAAACATTTTCATTTCCATTTCATGTGCCATCGTCTGTACTATGTATAACACGTGTCATTCACTGATCAGATTATAATATTGTATTTACATTGATTATTTCGATTAATTGTTTAGTTTTCCTCATAATTATACACAGTTTTAATGTAACCTTTCCTCATTGGTTACATTATAGAAACGGTTCTTTTTACAAGTTATTCCCCTTTCTATGCCGTGACGTCATCAGACACAGTCTCATCATAATAGAGAAGGACTCAGTAGACCAAGTACCTAATATTTTTTATTTTTTTTACTGAGTTCACCAACTTAATATCAGTCTTAAGTAACGAACCGCTATAAGCATCTGACGTAACTATAATAATAAAAGTTCGCGTATAAATAGTTATTGTTGGGAACCGATAGGTGGACCAACCTCTTTTTTATATTATCTATGTTTTATACCTTTTTTATTATTTTTGATACCTTTTGTTTAGTTTGAAGTTTGTTGTTTTTGATAGCCGTTGTGGGCAATATTTGCAGAAATATATCTTCATTTTAATCCGAAGGTTTTTCTTATTTCCGCACGCCCGAGCGGATGTCCGCAACAGTTATATTAAAAAAAAATGTTTTATCGCACAAAATAAATACTGTCGTTTGTACGTCATTCCAATTTAAGAATAGTAACGTGTGAATTAGCAATAAACAATTTCAATTTGAAGTGAACCTACTGGGTGTATTTGTATTTTTTCTGTATATAAAGAATGTTTTTCTGTTCATCCACTCATTCACGGAGATTTCTTTGTGGTTTTCACGTGTGTTACGAGTAAATATAAAATGAAGTCTGTAACGGTGTGTTTGGCGGTTGTTGTGCTGGTAGCTTTGGTGGAAGGACAAGGGATACCAACAAGTGAGTAAATTTTACTAGAAACTTGTAGTCATAATTTTGTAGAAATGTAGTAAAGATTAAGTCCAAAATGAAATGGATAAAAAAATATTTGATATTCAATAGTATTTACTACCAGTGTAATTTTTTTTATAAAAACTTACTTCCTACTATTATTTCCTACTAATCCTACTAATATTATATGCGAAAGTTTGTATTGATGTCTGGATGTTAACATGTTTGTTACTCTTTCACGCAAAAACTACTAAACGGATTTTTATAAAACTTTACAGTATTATTGTTTATTACCCAGAATAACAATAAAGGCTATAATTTATGACGATCAGTGACAAACTAAATTTCACGCGGGTAAAAGCTAGTACATAATAAAAACTTACACTGATAAATAACTACTCTCAAACGCTATCTCAGAACTGTGATTTTGCATGGATGACCAAAATTTCTAAAGATTTGTCCCCGATTTTGCAATAAAGTTTATAATTATTGTTTTTTGTTTCCAGAAAAATGCCCTCCCGGTGAACATTCAGTGCTATACTGTCCTAGGATGGCAGAGCCGGACTGCACCAACCCCACTGTACACGAACGAAATGCGCCTGGAGCATGTGACATCCCCGATTGTTTCTGCAACACTCCCACTGTGCGGAACCTGGACACTGGCAAGTGTGTTAAATTGGAGGACTGTCCGAAGAAGAATTATTAAAATTCTCACAAAATATTAGGTTTTAGAATCTCTCAAAAGATTTTTTTTGTAATTAATAGAAAATTAATAATTTTTTAAGCCGTATGCTATTGTTACAACCGTTGCCGTTTGACTTGTTATTAACTATTTATTTTATCGTTGTTACAATTTAGATGCCTTACAAATACTTTAGGTTTATGTAATATTCGAATCCTGTAGAACACATACTCGTAAGTAGGTACATTAATTACTTTGTTTTCACGTCCATAAGTGCCAAAATTAAACGTTGGTCTAAATTGAATAAAGATTTTTCATTTTCATTATTTTTTCAACCTATTTATACTTATTAATNTTTTTGTATAGTCTGTGGAAAGAAAATATTAAACTCTGTTTTAGCTATCAAAGGTTTATAAACGATTATGAATAACGTTTTTTATCAGAGGTTTATAAGAGTGTTTTAAGCCTATCAAACGTTTTAGCTAATGTAGGTTTTAAACCTATATTAGCATTTTATTATGAATAAGACCGTAAATGAATAAAATTCTATGTGCTAAGATGAAGAAGCAAAAAAACTCACAAATTCTTTTCCAAAAGTGATTTAAACCGTTTTTCTAACCGCAAGCCAATAAGAGTTAAGTCTAAATTAGAAGTTGCAGGTGTGTCCGAGACTTTAAGTCGCTCCAAATTTAATTAGTGTCTGAACAATCCGGCCGTGTGACCTGCGCTCGCAAACTTTGTTCTGCACAGTGGTAAGGTGAGAAGAGTTGGGGCCAAATTCAGTGGAAATTTTATAGATTTTTAATCAAATTTAATATTTTTTAACAAAATATTAAAGGAAGGTAGAGTCCAAATACAGCCAAAATTTTAAATGACTGTTCAAAATAATTGAAATTGTTTTAGCTGACGCTATAAATATTTAATAAGTGTCCAAACAATATCTACTCATAAAATGTAGCTTACACAGTGTGATGGGTAAAGACAGTAGAGACAATATACGGTGTTCTAGTATCTATTTTAGTTGAATTTGGAGCAACCATCCCAAAAACAGGGAACATCTTCAACCCGACTACATTAAATGACCTAGCTCTGCAAGTGGAGTGAACCGAATCATTTACCACTTAAAACTAGGCGTGTGCTTCGTGCAGTAAAAATCTTACAAAGGCAAGTATTATGACCACAATGCATGTGACGTAAGTAACTTAGCTCATAAAACAAACAGTAATATCTACACCACCGCATAAAATAAATTTATAGTTATTTAGTGTGAAAGATTAAGGCTACATACTTGTAAATACTTTCTTTGTACCTGTTAGTTCTTTCCTTTTGTACCAATTTTTTTTCTGCCAAGTGCAAAGCTTTTATACCAAAGTCGTTCTAAATGTAATTAGTGTCGGGATCGGGACAATTTCACCTGCGCAGTATGCGGTCAGGTCTGCCCGAAACACACTTTCTTACTTGATGCACAGTGGTTAGGGTCAGTTACGGTCCTGAGCTCAAATGTTGGAAACATTTCAATATTTTATTTTTTTATGACGGTAAAAAAGGTTCATACAAAGTTTTATTTTCTGCTTATTTTCTAAAGTTTTAATAATCCCAGAATAATTTTTAGCCTGTCACTGCTTCGGACAATAAAGTGAACCAGTGCTGAAAAGAAGCAGCAAAAGAAGCGTACTTTTACAGCATAACAAGGCAGGTATTTGACCGCAATCGCACCTGATATTAATTTGAATACAAAACATCTTAGTTTTCAAGCCCGGTCTGTGAACACGTAAAATTTTGTCCAATGACCCCAAGCTACCCATCCTTATCGCTCGCACGTAATTTTATTGCTGTCGCGACTGTGCGACGGGCGGCCGCAGTGAGTGTGCGAGCGACCAGACTATAGGTATAAATCGCTTCTCAAAACAATCCCAAATTAATACCAATTGCGTCCAGTTCCCAAGGTCAAAATTAATCGAATCAACCCCTCATTTCTGCGAACTGTCGAGTAATTAATAAAAGAAAAGGGCTTAATCATAATCAGGAGTGGCCCATCAGTTAGACTCATTAGCGAATAACTCAACCGGTCAGATAATTATTTCATCGAGATCAGGCGTCCTGGGACTGAGTTATAAGAGCCAGCGAGACTGAAATTTAAGATCTTTTTTAAGGGTTTTCAGTAATCAGCCACATAAAAAGTACTCTACAGCAAACTCAGAATTAATACATATTATCTGTGGGCTGAGTGTGAGCTTATATCAAACGTCCTCACTAGTGAGCGCGTTAAAAAAATGTATGAACATTTTAGTTCTTGAACGTTTCCGCTAGGGGCGCTATAGGTACAATCCGTCATTCATTTAATGTCATTTTTTTACGTTTGTTGTAAACTCACACTCAGCTCGCTGTAAATTAGGTAGTTCTGTAGTCTAGCTAGAGCTAATGATCCTTTTATTGTCAATAGACTACTATTTGATAGGTGGCATTGGTAAATTAACTGTTACGTTAATCTGAAAACAACAATACATCTTTTCCCCACCTGTGAAATGAGACACTGTCAGTTTTGTGGTGGACATCAAAGAGTTTTTTAACTAAGTCGGGTAAAGGTGACGAACGAGTTTCGTCCTAAATCGATATTGCTAAAAACTTAACCTTTTTTCTGGCGCAATCGGGTAAAAGCTTTAAAGAGTACCATCGTCCATCACCTGCCCAATTGTTTTTTAGAATAGATGCTGGCCTCTTGGAAGAGTTTTTTAGATAATCTTACTCAAAAAGTCTAAATTTCACAGCTTGAACCCGCTCGTCCTCCGGGAAATTACAGTTTCGGCCAATTAGAAACGGCCTGAATAAATTTCAACAAACACCGAGAGATATTTTTTAATTACGGCCGGTTTATGCGATCGTATCTGATATTAATTTTTGCGATTAATCATTCGGCCCCGTTGAGACTCAATGGACGTTGTCGAAAATTGTTTTGTAGGTTTAAATTGAATTCAACACATTATTTTCTATCGGATTTATGTGTGGATTTATATGGTAAGAGAGATTTTCATTGAAGAAATTGTGAAATCAAACTGTGGAATGGACTGTCGTCTGCGTTGTTTCCGGACGGATACGACCTGCAAGCTTTCAAGAGGAGAGCGTATCTTCACCTTAAAGGCCGGCAACGCACCTGTAACGCCCCTGGGTCTGCGGGTGTCTATGGGCGACGGTAATCACTTACCATCAGGTGATCCGTCTGCTCGTTTGCCACCTGACTCAAAAAAAATACCATATCAAAACTGCATACGCGGTACTTATCACTAGAAAACGAATATGAAAAAAAATCTACTGAAAAAAAAAATTGTTACCAAGGTGATCAGATCGCAGACATTCGTTTTCGAGGAAAAGTCGTTCGACGTTAATTATTTAAATATTATATTTGTTCAGACTGTTTTAATGTTATTTGAACAGCCTGTTATTAGTTTCGCCTTTTGATCAATTTTCAGTGACAAAATAATTATTTAGCAAAACCAAACGTTGTTTTCACGATTTCCATTTGGGTGATTCACCAATATCTTATTGCACCGAACTAAATTTAAAAAAATATTGCAAAAACACAATAATTCGATTCGTTTCGCCGCCCCAATGGACGTGCGGCTTTAATACTGCAACACGCTCTAACCCGTAGACCCAGCACATAAACCAATTTCTCCTCGCCGTCGCTGCGCAAACAAAACACACAAATGCTCTCACAGTTTAAATAAAGCACAATTTTATTTCACCTGCATCCTAGTTCTTACTTAGTCATAACGTATGACTTTTTTAGCGTCGGGGAAAGTTATAAACGGACTACAGTGAATCAAGGTACTGCAGAAAACTTATGTAATAATATAGGTATTTTGCAACAAAAAATAAAGGTCTGATATGATAGAAGACTATATTCATATCACGACTGCAACTCCTGTGTAGCCAGGATCGATTTATTCCCTCCTCTCATCCCCACCCCTGCCAATTCTGTGTAAGCAGGATCTACCATCAGAAAATCCAAAATAGTAGACCATAAAAAATATACAATAGGTTTAGGTACTTACATCCAGTCAATTTATCCACAACCCCAGGTAAGGTAAAACTGACATTGTCATTGGACTGACAACGAAATTAAATAAATAGGAGGAATTTCTTCTTCAGCTTCTACTGGTGGAAATGTTAATGATAAATTAAACGAGTATAAAACCATTAAGAAAACATACAACACGCAGTCTAAGGCTGAGTTGCACCATTTTAGTTTAACTTTGACAAACGTCAAAAATCTGTCAAATTCCATATAAAAGGCACCGGTTAACGTCAAGGTGCGTACGGATTGCGCGTACCCTGGTACGCGTACTCAGTTTACGCGTATCCGGAACGCCTAGTCCATACCTGTGGGTCTAGCTAGCTACTAGCTGCAGGTATGGACTAGGCGTTACGGATACGCGTAAACTGAGTACGCGTACAAGGGTACGCGCAATCCGTACACACCTTTATAGTTAGATACCGTTAAAGTTAGGTGGTGCAACTCAGCCTTAGTACATTAAATATTATTATTGAAGCTATAACTTCCAGCGCCTTTCAAAATCAACATAACGCCATCTCGTAGCCAAACACATCAACATAAAGTTTGCGCATCCAAATGATAGATGTCGCTGCACTATTTACCGGCGGAATGGCCGCCGCAAATAATATCTACCTACCGCCAGACAGACCGAAGAGCGTAGCATATTTTATGCACAGATCTCGGAGAACCTACTAATCTGAATGTATTCCGTATAGACTGCGGTGCGTTTGCACCTTACGATTGTGAAACGTCGTTTGTTTGGAATTGTAGCTTCACATCTGTCGTGTGTAAGGAATTGTCTCAACTCTGTGAGACTCTATGAGCCGGTGGTTTATAAAGTTCTGTGTTCTCTGAAGCACTGAATTTCAAGTTGATTCAAGTTTGCTCCTTAGAACTAAATAATGTCTACCCACCCTTAGAACAACAATTATTTATTACATTTACCCCCATATTACAAAAAGCTAGACTCTGGTTGAACTCTGGTACTGGTTACTTACTACTAGTACTTGGTCTGTAACTGACATTTAGTACGGAAATGTCATTTTAAACCAGTGCTCGTCCCGGGTTTATCTTTTTTGTAAATGGGAATTAAATTTTTCAACGTGTACGTAACGTTCCCACCTGGCAAATCAACCTTGAACCACCAAATCTAGGTAGAGATAGCATAATTATAATAACCGACTGATTCTCTCTCTGAAA